ATATATATATATAAATTCATGGTGTTTCAGAAGAACTCGTGGTACATACGTTAGGGGGTGACAACTAGACAAGCCATAGAATCCAATCCATGTTCGAAACGCAAGGGCGACTTTCAACGACCGTCGTAAGAAGGTTGCTCACAGCAGCTCGCTTCATTCTCTCTATGGGTCACCGAGAAAATGGGAACTTCAGTGGGAAGGTATGCATTGGCTACCGTTGACGCGATTTAAACTTAAAATTTTGCCCTTAAACAAGTTAGCTTTTGCTCGCCTTTATTTCTATTTATAAGCAGAAAACATTCCAAATTGCCTTTGCTTCCATCCACTTGTAAATCCATCATTATAAATGAATAGATCTTTAAATGTGAGTTAATCATTGTAGTGAAGTCTCCTTACCTTCATTTTATAACCCACTGTTCACTACTGTTTTATTGAAAATTATGCTTGCTTGCTTTCGTATGCCTGTTAAGGCAGAGGGGTGCGATCGTTCCTGTTTTTCAATGGAGCAATCTATGGCCAAGAATTCGACTTCTGCCACACCCATACGTCAACACGCCCGTTTTATAGGACGGACCCATTCATGCATTCATTCATTCATCCACGGATCGTAATTTTTTGACCTGAATCAGAGAACGATCAATCTCCAATTCAGTACCCCTAGAGGTGTTGATTTGTTATGGGAACATGGAGGACTTTGTGTCTCGACAGATTTTAACGTGCATCAGTCACCATTTACAAAGCGGGGAGTCTTCGGCCGGTCGGGTTCGAACCCACGAACTCTCGGACATGGGCCCAGCGCTCTACCGCCCAGGCTACCCCGGCCCACTGAATCTTATATTGAATAATTTTACCGAAACATTGCTGAATGAAGCGACACGTTTTTCATCTGATCAACCCATATTTTCAAAAATCTAAAAACAAGTAAATATGAACAAATAAATTGTGCAGGAAAATGCTGTTTGCGGAATTGGCGAGTAAAGTTTATTTATGAAACTAAATAAATATGATAATACACTCTATAACAAAAAAATCGACGAACCAAGAAGGAGTTGTCCGATTGAAACGAAAATTGGTAGATAGGAAGACAATGTACAGCATAGTAAATGATTAAAATTTCCGAACAATTGAATAATTTATTGCAGAGTTACAGTAACAAGTTCAATAAGGTGTTGACCCGCCTCTAGCCTGGATACAAGCTGCCACACGGCGTGGCATAGACCGATAAAGCTCCCGAATGGTCTCTTGCGGTATTTCCTGTCAAATTCGATCCAATTGTCGAATGAGGTCATCGACATTCCTGCCAGATGCAATCGCCTTCCCATCATATCCCAGACATGCTCGACGGGAGAGAGTTCTGGTGATCTGGCAGGCCAAGGAAGAGTTTGACAAGCTTGCAGACAGTTCATAGCAACACGTGCCGTATGTGGTCTGGCATTGTCCTGCTGAAAAGGCTGGGCGCTGCAAAAGGAACGGTAGCAAAACAGGTCTTAGGATGTCGTCGACGTACCGCTGTGCAGTAAGTGTACCTCTAATGACGAATAAAGGGGTCCGGCTGTCAAAGGAAATGGCACCCCAGACCATAATGACTTGTTGAGGGCCGGTGTGGCGTGCAATAGTGAAGTCAGGATCCCCCCTCTGCCCTGTGCGTCTCCAAACACGTCTTCGATGATCGTCAGGACACAGTTGGAAGCGGGATTCGTCGCTAAAGACTATACGTCCCCAGTCGGCACCATTTCAGCCATATATGTTCAAAACATTCATGCATACGAAATTTCAAAGCAATCGGATGATTGCTTCTTGGTGCGTCGATTTCTTAGTTATAGAGTGCATTTATTTAACAGTCGCACTGGAAGAAACCTCTTAAATGACATTATAATGATGCTAAAATTTAATTAAATCTCTCGCCGATTTTAAAAGCATATGATGAAAGTATTGTGATGGTATGCTTATTTTATGTACTGGAAATGAAGTTTTGTTGGGAAACTTCAAAACCTATCGATCGTTCATTACTATAGGATCAGTATGGTTCTTTGCTGTAATGACAGAGAGTAGAACTGGAAGAAAAATGTATTGCTTGGATGTGTAATAGCATATGTTTGAGCTTTTAACAATTGGAGAAAACTATTGAATCAAGTACTAGTGTAAATAAAAAGAACTATCTATAATGAACAAACAAAATCTATATGAATAATCAATACATTTTTCATGATTTTTATTGTACTTCTAAATTTTGCAGTTGCCAATGTGATAGGAAATTATGATATAATTCATAACTATGACACTTTCCTCAGACTTGGAGTGGTAGCCGCAGTACCTGTATCAGCCGGTAAGTGCATCATTATAATAATAAGTATCCTAGCCTATTTTAACTCTCCCATTTTGGTACTTAGAAAAAACTTTGACAATGCGTGTCATTCAGGCGTTTGATTTGGGAAATAATTCCTTTAATCCTCTGATAATTACTATAAATTGCTTCTTATTAGTTTGGAATGTAATGAAACTATTAATATTTTGTATTCGAGGAATTGATTTTGTTTTAATTTTCTTAGTTTTAGACGTCCATCTCTACAATGTGATTTTTGAAGGTATGAAACTAGCTGGAATACTCTTGATATCAATAGGTTTTCTGTTGGTTCTTCTACCAGATAATTGGCCTGATTATATCACAAGATTAATTCGTTGGAGATGTCGGAAATGTCCCAAATACAATAAACCAACAGATCCTACACAACCCCGCCATCTCTTCATTCGCACATAGTTCTTTTGTAAAAAAATTCATTGAATTTAATGATTTTAATTCTATACAGCGTAATTAACGCTACTAATGTATATTTTTTGAATTCTTAAATATAAAATCAGTTTAAATCATATTTAAGTGATATAAAATACATGACAAATCATTATTACTATTACTTAAAATCATCAAAACTAATTTATTTTTCGAATAAAAATGAAAGGTGTCACTAAAATGTCTTTTGGTTTAAAACTCTTTGTTGAAATCTGGTTAAATTATGGATACATTAAGAATGTATTTCAGTTTCATCCGGCAAATAGATTGAATATGATAAATTTATCTCTACCTTTAGTGTGATTGCTTCAATAATGATTTATTACATTTTATTTTTTTTTTATTTAAATATTAAGCTATGACCCTTTATGTATAAAGTTTAAAAAATTTAACATAAATCACTGAAAATAAATAGCAATGTAATACGCACAACGCGCAAAAAAAAAAATAAACGAAATACCATAAGTAAGTTTTGATCTAATGAGCAGGCTAGAACTCAATCTTAATGGGTCAAGAGGGTGACCTCAAATATGCTGATTAATTAGTGCAGGCGATACTTTAAATTACGAAATCACACACTAAAACGTACTTTCAAGAAAAAAAACATTCCTGACCCTCGGGGGCAGCCGCAATCTGGAAAATCCCAATAGTTCGGGATCCCTTAATTTTACTTTTTGTGTATATCACCATATCTTGAGAGCTTTAGAATCGAACTGAAAACATTTCTGCACTCAGTTATAAAATTCGTTTGTCCAAAGACGCGCAAAAATTTTAATAATCATTATTTTTTTGTTTCATAATACTGAAAAAATTCTGAATTATAAAAAATTTTCCATTATTTTAAAGAAGTAACAAAATACAAAATTTGAGCAAAATCGGAGGAATAGTTCCTAAGAAATCGAATTTTAAAATAGTCATACATCTGAAATTCAATTGTCAAGAACAGTTCAGCCAATTTCGTTCAAATTTTGTATTTTGCCACATAAAACTACATTCTTTAAAATTATATAAGAATCAGTATTACTTACTGCTTAATATTTTTTCGACTGTTATTGAATAAAATAATAAAAGGAATAATTAAATATTAGAAAGTACTTTTTGTATGAAGTTATTTTCGGATAAAGGAATTTTATAAGAATTTTATTATTGAGTGCAAAATAATTTCAATTCCCTTAAATAGTTCTTGAAATCTGGCAAAATACGCAAAGAATAAATGAATAAAAAATTAGCATTAAAGAGTCCAAACTTTGAGTGCTATCCTGACCAAACTTTTGGGATCATATTTCTTAGATTGTACATTTCGAGGATCCGAATCTTTAGATAAAAAAAAAGTATATTTATTCAGAGAAAATGCGTTTTTGTGTCAGTTTTCGTAACTTGAAATATCATCTACGGTAACTAATTAACATATTTCAGCTGACCCCTTGAACCATTGAGACTGAATCTTAGAATGTGAAAATCCAATCATTCAATAAAAATCTTTTTAGTTTCTTTTTTTTTTTTCGTGCACTACATTGATTAAGGGAAGCAATGTATAATTTCAATTTTCCCTGCTTTTCTTTAAGAAACAGAAATTGAAAAAGTATTATAATATTTCTTTTTTTCATAGTTAGAAAATTTTACAAAGTGATTAAAAGAAAAAAATTCTAGTACCTATGAAAGTGTTGCTAATATCCTTCCACAAAATATGAATAACAAAATTAAATTTATGAATTCTATTACAACTTTATAAAATTGTTATTGCAACCATTTTCTGTATTTAGTCAAAATTAGTTTAGACAATTGTATTTAGACCCATTTTCATAAAACTTTTATACTTATTGACATTAACAAAATATCTGATTCAGTTTTCAATTTATATATTCAAAATAGTGGACCAACATCATCGATTCTGAAAAACTTTTCTAAAGAATTAAAACTAACTGAATTAATCAATTGAAAATAATGTAATGTGCACGGCTTAAGGAGGTAAAAAAAAGAAAGACTGTGACAAATTAGACCAAGTTTTAGAGCCTTTTGTATGGTGTCTCTTTAATCGTGTTGTATATATTGAAAATTTGAAGAAAAAAATTTTATAGTACATATATACAGTGTTCAGTTACAGTTTTAAAACTATTAAGTATTTGATTTCCTTTCATTGTCTAAAAAAAACAAATATTTTCTACATGCGTAAATTGCATTCAAAATTAGGTATTTTTTATTGTTGAAATCTAAGATAATTTCAAACAACTGTTTTGCTTGTTATCATCAATTACCATTACATGCGTTATAATACATGCATTTCTGTTATCAGAAATAACATTTATCCGAAATATCTCATAGTATGAGGTTTAAAAAATTTTAAAAGCCAGTTCAAGTAATGGTATTCGTTTACCTTCAAACTTCCAACAACAAAAATGGAAAAAATTTTAAACTTTTAAAATTATAGAGATCAGAAACTTTTAAAAAAATAGTTACATAATTTTGCATTTGTCATAAAAAGATATTTTTTAATTAAATACTAATTAGAAGTTAGAGTTTTTTTAATTAAATATTAATTAAATACTAATTTCATATATTTAAGTATGAATAAAATTTTATTATGCATTATATAAAAAAATAATAAAAAATAAACAAATAATAAAAAATTATTAGAACTGTTTATTTACTAATTATTATTAGTAAATAAACAGTGTACTTTGAGATAGAAATGGGATACAAGATGAAAGTTTCTTCCATTTAATGCAGCGATTCTCAACTTGTAGGGCGCGCCCTCCTAGGGGGGCGCGAGCACACTTGAGGGGTGGCGCGAGAATACCCAAGAGAAAATATTCTTTAAAAATATTAATTAACTGGATGAAAGGAAAGAACACAGAAAACGAAATACATTTCGACATATTTAATAACTTATATTAAAGTATAACAACTTATTAAATCAAAACTTAAGGTGGGGTTGTTCTGAGGATTTTTCCTAATTTTCTGGTTAAGTCTGTGTGGCTGAAATTTTTTGTAACATCTTACAACTATCTCTAGTACATATCACATATACTTTTAATTGAAAAATAAAATTTCATTTATTTCATAGTACAATTTCAAAATTGTAGCTTCTGGTCCTAAGGTTTCCCGCATGTTCCAAAGGTGAGCCATATATTGAAATCACTTTTTCACTTACTCAAATTATCTTTAGAAAAGACACTTGGACTGGCAAACTTTTAAAAAGGTACTTTAAGTGTCTTTTGCTGGTGGGGACAAGTTTTCCGGACTATAAAAAATTATATTTGATTTTAGAGTGTATATAAATATTTTACAGTGATATAGTTCTTGTGTGAAGTCACTAGCGATTCTCTTGAGTAAACTCATTAGAGTAAATCAAGGATTACTGATTTCATTGTGTCAAAAGGGTTAACTAACCATAACTAATAAGTAAGAGTTAAATAACCATACTAAAGTTAACTAACCTGACTCATAACTATAAAAAATAGCCTAATTTACAAGAAAATACCAGAATCTATCACAAACACATTCATAACTACCTTAAAAATTCTGAAAAATACCTGAAAAATCACTTTAAAATGTAATTAAAACAAAAAACTTGAAGCAAAGTATCGCAAACTCTGCTAAAGTGCAGAACGTCAAAATATTATAAAAATTTTAAAAATACTGAAGTTCCACATTTGCTTAAAATGAAATAAATCAATTGGAATTCAATTAAATCATTCCTTTTTGATNATCGCAAACTCTGCTAAAGTGCAGAACGTCAAAATATTACAAAAATTTTAAAAATACTGAAGTTCCACGTTTGCTTAAAATGAAATAAATCAATTGGAATTCAATTAAATCATTCCTTTTTCATAAATAATATACTACGCAATGATTTATGATGAACTCTTTTATAGATTTCATGTTTGTTTCCGTTGGTGGCCCACGTGTCCGCCGCCTTTGTCTGGCCACCTTAGGAACATGCATAGGGTCACCATTTACACGACTTAGAACTACTAATCTGATAGATTAATTCGAATTTAAGTAATGTGGTTAAATAAAAAGAAATAAGGTCTCAGAAAACGTATTTTAACTCAAAGTTCTAAGAATTTAAACACATATAAATTACAATATCTTCTTATATACCCAGAAATTAGAACGACAACTGGAAAAAATAAAATCACTTCATAGAACGGAGGTCATTCAAGGAAATATCTTCCAATTCAGCCACGTGCACCTCAGATACAAGATATACAATGCAGCAATGCCATCTTGTGATTCGAAATAAATTTAATTCTACTTTTGGGGGATGAGCTACGTTAGGAGCACTAACTACCTTTGGTTCACCCACCTTACTTAACACGTTCACGCCAGGAAAAGTGAAAATACTGATACGGGAAAAGAGAAAATACTGGTAGAAAAACTATTTCAAACTTAGATAATATTCGGGAGGAGTTAATCTATTCTCAACAATAACAATTCACTGTAAGGAAATTTATCACGGCGAAGAAGCAATTCAATATAAAAATTGCATCTGTTAAAAACAATTGGTAGTTAGGATTTTTTAATATTCCCGGAAAAAAACTAAAAAATTAAATTTATTGTTACCAGTTTTTACTCCGGTGCGCTGCCAATATGAGACAATCTAGCGTGGCCCACCGGTGGGTCACCCCGGCGTGAAGGTGTTAATTAAAACATACTAAATTAAAAACAAATTTAATAATTATTAGTGACTTCCTTGGGTCTGTCTTGCAGAGCAAAATTTTTCGAGGTAAGGCTTAATATTAGAAATAGCCACTCTCAGTTCTGTTTCTATATTTAGCCGAGATCTATATTTTGTCTTCACAGAAGCCACAGCAGAAAATCCTGTTTCACAAAAGTAGAATGCTAAAATGGTAATAAATGCAAAATGCCCTTGTTTTTAGTGCAGAAAATCATCCTCTACTCCAGCCCAAAATTCAAATAGTGATTTATTACTAAATTGTATTTTGGTTTCGCCACTTGTCGTGAAGTCTGTGAATTTTTCTTCCCAATCAATTGAGAGTCCTTCGGAAGTCTTATGAAATGGATCCCTAACCCACTC